GATTCACATGCACTTTTGAGAGCTTATTAATGATATTAATGATCGTGGATCAAAGGCAAAGCCCAGACAATTACTTAGGTGCTTCAAAAGCCCATCTTCTGTAGGAGGGTAACAGTTTCTCGGTGCCGGCAAAGATGAAGCTGGGCTCTGACGTGTGGAGGGTAAAGCGCCAGAGCTAACTAACTCAGGGGGATTTTCAGGAGAGGACGGGTCCCTCTGTAGGAGTAAATCGTACGCCGACTGGTGCCTTGTCACCTGAGCCTCGTCCAGTCGTTTGAAAGTAGAAGCATTTCGGGTTTTGGAGTATATTTGCATCACAGCGCTGTGGGCTTCTGCCGTGCAGCAAAGTGCATCAGCGGCAGGAACACGCGTCCCCTGTCCCTCGGGCGTCCCCCCCAGGTCGTCACAGAGCCCGAGCTGAGCTCCCTGTGCTGCGCGCAGCTTCCCACGGCTGTCTGTCAGGCCCCTCTCTGACCTGCACAAAGCCCTTCTTCTCAAGGAGACTCAGCTCTTCGTAGACGCAGCCTGCCTCTTCTAGCATCCAGTATTTAGACACACAAAAACTGCCACCCTGACTTTTAAACAACAGTTCTTAACTATGGCATCTCATGGGAATTTGAGGGGCTTTTAAAATTGCCAGTGCCTAGGCCAAATCTCAAGGATTCTGATTAAACTAGAAGCTACCAACGACCCACAAGTTCCTTCCAATGTGTGGCCAGTGTCCCTACACTGAACCCATTTTTAAACAGACGAGTTTTAACGCATAGAGTGGTACGGTAACCTCGGGGTTTTACGGAGCCATGCGTGGTATTTACTATCAAAGATTATTTGACAGATGAAGAAACCGAGGCCTGGGAAGTTACATGACTTGTCTCCAAAGCACAGGAACCAGTTGGTGGCAAAGTACCAGGGTTGGCAGCAGCACCAGGCAGGGAAGAGTGGCTTTCCTGGGTTGGCACTTGGGGCCTGTGACTGAATACCAAGAAATGGCTTGGGTACAGTGGCTCTCTGCATTTCACTCACAACTATTCAGGTGTATCGTCCCAACTGGATACTGAAATGCTTCTAAAAAATTATGCATAGGATCCAAAGGGAAATATATTTACAAGCAGCCAGAGAGGGCTCATAACCTGTCATTAAGAGGCAGCGCAGAGAAAGAGGCAGCCCAGGACTTCAGTCAGTGCTGCTTCCAGGGCTAGATGCACTTCGAAAATGGAAAGGAATCCCCTTGGGAAATGTCAAGATTCTCTGGAAAGAAGTCAAGGTCGCATACTTTAACCCCTCACTAGAGGAGTCTATCTCAGCTCACAAATGGGAGAAGTGGGAATATAGCTACATTGTAAAGACCACCCCTAGTCTTACATTTAATCACAACATCTGCACAGGGTGTTCCAGGCCTAAATTTTTAGGGCCAATGGTTCAAATGAGGAGTTCCTTTGATTATTTTAATACAGTCTTCAAACCATCAGAACTGCTCCAAGGAGGGAAAAGTCTCCAACCAATAAAAGATAATTTTAAATAGCATGTTCAGAAAAGGGCATTTTGAATTCATATTCCTTGGGGTTAATTAATTCACTTGCTTTAAAGAAAAGTGATACACACGAAAACAATTTTACTTTTTATTCATGAAATAGGTTCATTTACAACTACACACTAATTTCATCCCCTAGAAATGCACAACCATTGAAACTATTTTGGTGTGTGTTAATTGCTCAGTTGCGTCCAACTCTTAGCCCGCCAGACTCCTCTGCCCAAGGGGTTCTCCAGGCAAGAATACCAGTGTGAGTAGCCATTCCCTTCTCCAGGGGCTCTTCCAGACACAGAGGCTGAACCCAGGTCTCCTGCATTGCAGGCAGATGCTTTACCCTCTGAGCCACCAGGGAAACCAAACAGAATAAGGTCAGTGGGAGAAGAGCGCTCGCCTGGTGATGAATGCAGGGACTGGCTTTCTGCCTTGACTGAAGAACATCTACCCTGGGGCTCCGTCAAATCCACACCTTTAGGGTACTTCCTTGCTGGTCGTGGGTTCGACCCCTGGTAAGGGAACTAAGACCGCACGTGCTGTGGGGCAGCTAAGCCCGAGCGCCACATCTAGGGAAGGCCATGTGCCACAACCAGAAAAGCCTGCACCCCGCAATGAAGAGCCTGCACGCTGCCATGAAGTGACGGCCCAGAGCAGCCAAAATTAAAAACAAAACAAAACACCACACCCTTAGTTACCTGGTCAGGTGCTTTGGGATCAAATGTAAGGTTTTCCTGATTTTACTGATTTGTTTAATTAACAAGATTTTAAATAAGTAACTGTAATGGCAATCATGCTGCATAACACAATTTACATGATTAAATCTAACCCTGGAACTGAGTAGTTCTTGATAATTAAAGGCAATAACTTCATCCACTCAAATCCCCTCAGTTCAGCTACACATTGACAAGTATTTGTTCCATGTCTTGTTAAGTAAATACAGAAACAAACTGAGAGGGAGTTCTGTAGATTTCTGAGGATCTAATTATACCATAAATTGTAATACCCATCATCTATATGGTTAGACTTCTGCCCTGAGTGATTATCCAAATTAACTTCACTTTACAACACTTAATTTATTTGGTACTGAGGAAGACTTTAAACTATTTAACAGAAATCAGCTTAACTTTGATTTCCTACTTGTTCCAACACGTTTCAATTGATTTGTATTTCAGCAACAAGGTTTGAACTCTCCTGTCCTGACAAACCATGCGTGGAAATTCCCTCATGAAAGACAAGAAGAAATGAAAAGGACTTCTATATGCAAGCCATAGCACAGCATGCTGGAGGGCGGTGCTGGCTCAGGAAAGCCAAGGGAGGACCAGTCACCAGAACTGCGTGTCAGACTGCAGCGGGGCCTGCCGAGTACGAATGCAAGGCCACGGGAAGGGCGGCACCGTGGCCCAGCGCTCTCCCGTGATGGTTCTCTTCCCTCCCGAGCTCTGCCCTCTCCAGCTCGGCCTGAAGTCAAAGGCCACCAACATGCACAATTCAGGTTAAAGTCCGAATAAGGCACTGAACGCAGTGATCCTATTGATGTTTTCAAGATACATCCTGAGATACGTTGTTTTAGAGAGAAGCCACGTTCTCCATAAACAAAACTACAGAGCATTTTTGGGACTCTTGCTTTTTATAAAATGAAATAACATTTTCCCACTTTTTTCATTTAAAATGAGTGAACAAAAGCTGCAACATTTATTCCTGTCTTCCTAAAAGTTTGCTCTTTTGCATTTCACGATTTACATGCATGGCTGGATGTCAGGTAACCTCCAGAGGCAAAGAAAAGAAAAATGTGGAAGAAAAGTCACACTGACTGTTCTCAGACATTTATGGACATTAAAAAAAAAAAAAGAAACACCCAAACTAATCTATTAAAAAGTCATTTGGAAGCACATGGAGGTGACTTAGAAGCCATGACATTGAGAAAGTTAATGAGTTCAAAGTTATAACATCAATCAATAGGATCCATATTTCTTCCAAGCATCAGAGTTACAGGAACTTGAATATTCATTTAATTTGGGTTATAAAGTGAGTGACGGAAGAACTTATTCTTTTTAACCAAGAATACTGACAGAGTCTCAGATTTGTAGATGAATTATTAAGATTATCAAGAATATCAAAACACACCCACTTCCAGCAGTAGAGAACCAACTCTTCATTTCCCACCTAATAAGCAACAAAAAAACCTGGCAGCCATTTTCCCCTCTGAACTTCCAAATATCCAAAGAATCAAACAACCACTCAAGAAACAAGAGAACCAGGGGTGTTTCAGACATGTGGAAGGAAAATGCTTAAAGGTGAAATTGCTCAAACACATGCCCCAGTACAGAAGCGGAAAGTTGGTTCCTTTGCTAGTACTGTTAAAACCCATGTACATGAAGGCTGTGAGAAAGACCCTACTGATCTACAGCCAAAAGTGCAACGACACAGCTTTTAAACAACCCTTCTGTTTTTAAATTTTGGCCGCACTGGCTCTTCACTGCATTGCACGGGCGTTTCTCTAGTTGTGGCACATGGCCTTCTCTAGTTGCCCCTCGGCATGTGGGATCTTAGTTCCCGGACCAGGGACTGAACCCATGTGCCCTGCATTGAGAGATGGGAAGTCCCAAACTTAGTCATTGTTATATCCACAAATATACCAAACTCTAAAGCCAAGAATTTTCTTGAAAGATAATCATTAAACACACAAGTACTGGCTTTAACCACCAGGCCCAGGTTAACTAATGAAATAAAAACCTGCTAAAAACTTTTTCTGGTGCCTCCAGTTCAAATAGCTCCCCCTAGTTCTGGGGCAGGCAGCAGCTATTGGGATGGTTCTTCCTTATTCCAGATTCTTCAGGGAGCTCACTGTTTCTTGGCCTATCACTTGGGTTGCTATTTGTGCCCTCTATGCTTAAACTACTGCAATAACTGTTTAAGACTCAATAACACACTGTGGGCCCATCTTCAGTGACAAGCACAGCCAGAGAACGGGTGACACAGAGGGGGCTCAGGACAGACCGTGTTCTGTCACCTTCTCGGAGGGCTCTGCCCTGTGCAGGCTGCGCTTCCTGGACGAGTGGACTCTGCTCCACGGCGGCTGGTATTCTGCTGGGCTACCTCTTCTACCATGGAGCCCAGTGAACGGAGTCACCTGGGGCAGGATTAAGAGCTCGGAGGGAAGAGGAAGAGATGTCAGTAGGCAGGGCCACGTTCCTGGTGGGGAAGGTGAGGCTGGGGTCACAGGAAGGGAAGAGGTCTCCAGAAGAGTCTGGAACATCAAAGAGGGCCTGCATCCGCAGCCAGGCATGGCAAGGAAGACTTAGCTTCTTGACCTAAAATGGTGCCATGAAATTCGTCTGCCTCTTAATGAGCCCTGCCCTACAATCTAAGGAAAGGAGAGCTGGGGAAGGACAGAATGAGCTGGGAGAAACCACTAGTTAATCTTAAGCATGAACTTACACTGTGTCCATTTCCATATTCTTTTACTTTGTTGGGCTTTTTCTGTTTTTTTTTTTTTGCTAACTCCTACACTGTGGGGAATATTTTGATTTTCCGTGTTACTAAGGAGGAGGTATTACTTTCAAAGGACCACCCAATGTTGAACAGGAAAAAAAGACACATTTGATGGGTGGCCTTTGAATAGTTTCCTTCCTTATTTCAGAATAAAACTCGGTTAAGAAAATCTACTGTAGTTGTCCATCCAAAATAAGTCATTGCTATGATTCACTGCATGACATTTCAGCAAGCCCACTGGAGACAACAGTGGGTGATCCTGCAAATGGAAGGCTCCTGGTTTGAAATCTAAACTGCCTGTGAAGGCTTCCAAGTGGGAAACTGCAAACTCTGCCCACTGAATTCCCCTGGGACTTGGATCTGTTCTGAACTTAACCAGAGTCTTAAAGGTGGGGGCAGGGGCAAGGGGCAGGGACATGCCTGAACTACAAGAAAGAACAAGCCTCTCTGACATCTCCCCCTAATGCCAGGCCAAATTATATGTAAATGTCCTCCAACTCTGAGCGCAAAGGCACAGCTCCCGGGCACTATGGCCACCATGCTTAAGGACCTGGGAACAGAGTGCTTCACACCTGAGGGGGCGTGACGGTTGCCAGGTCTACACGTGGGCCCTGCTGATACGCTGGGGGCCAGGACAGTCAGGCTGCAGGAAATCAATCCCAGTGACTCTCCAAATAGCCCGGGGGTTGCCAACCTCAAGCAGGTTTCAGAATCACCCAGTTTCTCACTCTGTAGGTCTGAGGGGGGGCCCAGGCTCTGCCTTTCTTACACACTTTCAGATATGACGCTAGGGCCGCAAGCAGACGGGGTGACCCGCAAGCCTGTTCCTCCACTGCTGCCTGACTCAGGCTGCAGGGCAGGAAGACTGGCCAGCAAAGAGAGCACCACGGTCACTGCGAGCTTCATGCAAGGATGTGATGAGGCGCACCACTGGTTTCTTCATGTGCTTCCTCTATGGATGCTGTCACTGCCAACAAAGCCAATGGCTATTTGTCACTAAAGTGAGTTTCTGACGTTAAAGTGTGAACCAGAAAGGAGCGGTGCTGTCAGAACAATCTCCTGGAGGCTGCTGCTTTGAAAGTTAAGCCCAATGCAGGTACATATTTTCTACTGAAAATGGTCATTTGAATTCCTTTAAGTCATGGCTTCTAGGCACATTGCTCACTTGTCCCAGGTCTGGTCAGGACATCCTTGACGCCGGGGTTGCAATCCTCTTCTGTGAGCAAGTAGCTGCTTCCATCCTTTTCTTTTTTGGTTGGGCTGCCCTGAGTCAGAGTTAAGCTTTCAGTGTTTGTGGCTGAGTTGTGCCTGCCCCTGGCTTATTTTTTGTAAGATGTCTGGAGGAGAGAGTTTTCCAAAACATGCAACTCTTCATTAATGCAGTTTCTGCCAAATCTTGTTTCAAAAGTTACCCCAGATCTGACAGCTCTCAAGTTGGCAGGACCCTGACAGCTTTGCTTTCTTCCCCCACTATTATTTCCCTCGGGACTAATCGATCACTTTCAAGAGAAACTGTCTTGTGGTGGCCAGCGTCTTCTGCAGGGTTGTGCTTCCTGCGTTTCTGCGGTGCTCTGGCCCTTCGTGGACTCTTGCTTTGGACCCAAGAATGCTGACTCACAGCCACAGACAAGGCTCCTGCTTAGAAGCCCGGTCTGCAACCGCACCCTGGGATGAGGTTTCTGCTGCTCCTGGCCAGGCCTGATGACCTTTCTCCAGCTTCAGAGCAGGAAGCCCCTGGTGGGTCTCAGATGCCTTCCTGTTGTCCTCCGCCTGTCCCGTGGCCGGGGGGCTGGAGGAGGCTGGCCGGCCGCCCCTCCTCCACGCTCCCTCTGCAGCCCCCGAGTCACTGGGTGCGCCCACACTGTCCCTGTGGCTCCGAGATCTGCTCACGGCACTGCTTTTTGTCTCAGTTCTGTTCGCACTAAAACAAACAAAGAATTTTTTTATTTGTAAAGCTGTGATGGCCAGGTTTCCCTCGGAGTCCCCATGTCATATTTCTCACACTTGAAGTAGGAGGCACGTGTTAACCTCCCTTCTCCTCACCCCACTGGCCAATCTCACAAAAAACCCCAAGTGTCTGTTGATATGCAGACTGGATCACGCGAGAGCTGTCACAGTTTCCCACACATTGGGCACACTTTACTTACTGATCACTGGTTAACAATGGCGTTATAATGGAGTTCATATTTTAACTAAGGCAGAGAGGCTTTCATTTCAGATGTTAAATATTAATATTACCTATATTTGATATATTGAGTTTTTTCCCAGAAGCAAATACACAAAGCACAGGCTGTGTGTATGTGTGTGTGTGTGTGTACATACAGCATGTTCTTTTACACACACACAAACTTTTCTATAACACACAGAAACTTTCTAAACTTTCCCTTTTCTATAACACACATACAACAGACAATGCAGATTGTACTGTGTGACATTCACTTGGAGGGGCAGGATAGAAGCTGGCCAGGGAGATTTTACAGACCAGAGATTTTGGCATATATTTGTAGACTTGTGAATGGAAAGAAGTTTCCTGAACCACCAAACTGAAAATATCGAGGCTGAAATATTTCTTTAGGTTAAGCTTTCATCTGGAAACCAATATAGATGCATATTCTTACTACAGCTATCATTCTCCCAAAGATTATCATAATGACATGAGGGTCAGAAGAGGTCTCTGAGGAAAGTACCGTACGTTTCCTGATCTGTCTGGGGTTGCTTGGAAAGTTGTAAGGAACACCATCAACAGGTGCTTTTCATCTTCAAAGTGCTTGTCACTAATTACTCCTTGCAACATACCTGTGAAGCCAGGCCTTGTTTCCCACTGTCCAGAAAGCAAGAGGAAAGTCTGGAAGGTGAAAAAGTCCCAACTCTATGACCTTGGACAGGATCAGTGCCAGAGGGGCTTCTGTGATTAGGGTCCATGAAGTCCTGCTGCATTCTAGCCCTCATGTTGTGTCCCCATCTACACAGTTTGGAGAGAAGAAGAGGAAACCCACGGGACCTACATTTCTTGCAGAACGTTTCTCCTGGGCTCTGCCCCAGGAGGAAGTAGTTGTTCCACACAGCCAGTATGATGCCCCGATGCTCCATGGAGAGCTCTTCCCGGCTGCTGCAAAAGACAACAAAGTCAACCAGTAATCTGTTAACTGAACAGGAGGAAAACATTTCCTCTCCAAATGCCCCAGTGAACAGATTTAGTTTGGTGAGGACAGGACGAAACTACATAGTGTTAGGTTATTTTAATTTTTTTTTTATTTAGAATGTTCTATGACAAACCTAAACAGTGTATTAAAAAAGACATCATTTTGCCAAAAATGTCCATATAGTCAAATCTATGGTTATTTCAGTAGTCATGTACGGATCTGAGAGTTGGATTATAAAGAAGGCTGGGCACTGAAGAAGTGATGCTTTCAAACTGTGGTACTGGAGAAGACTCTTATGAGTCTCTTGGACTACAAGGAGATCAAACCACTCAGTCCGAAAGGAAATCAATCCTGAATGTTCATTAGAAGGATGGATTCTGAAGCTGAAGTTCCAATGCTCTGGCCACCCAACGTGAAGAACCAACTCATTAGAAAAGACCCTCATGCTGGAAAAGATGGAAGGCAGAAGAAGGGGACGACAGAGGATGAGGTGTTTGGATGGCATCACCCACTCAATGGGCATGAGTTTGAGCAAGCTTCAAGAGATGGTGAAGGACAGGGACACCTGTCATGCTGCAATTCATGGGGTCACTGAGGCAAACCCAAATTGTCGACTGAACACCATCACTTCTCTTGGATTCCCAGTATACGTTTCATTTGTGAATGTGTGCCACAAACATGCAAGATGGTGACTCCAAGCCATCCGGGAACTCTCAGCTAGAACTGAGAGCTCTGAGGCCCCGGATGTGACGATGCCCAAGTCAGGAACCAGGTGACCACGTGGCCGTGGGCCTGGCCTTCCAGAGAGACCTGGGGGGAGAGTGGTCTGTACCCTGATGAGCCTCAGAATTCTTACATCTTCTCTATCTATAAAAATAGAGTATGGCCTTTGCAAAAAATGTCAAGAGTTCAGCCTTTCAATACTGGTACTTTGAAAACCAGAGTTTGAGATTCCTGGTTACTAAGAAACTCTCGAGTCTTTTCCCCTTTAAAGTAACAGCACTAACATGGTTTTAGATAATTCTTAAGTTATCTATCCTTACACATGGAAGCTTCATAAAGAAGTAACTATAAAAAGTTAAAATCTCCCACCATCGCCAAAATTAACCTATTTCTTTCTTTTGGAAAGTTGTTTCCTTTTTGTTAGCACATAGATAATTCAGACAAGGTGTTAAATTCTTTTAATATCTAGTACGTTTCTCAGTACCCTTCTCCATCAAATTTCATAGTAAAATGTTGCTGCCACAAGGAATTGTATTGGTAAGGTGCCAGCAGACCTACACTGGAAGTAAGAATGACACCCCAGACAGCCTAGTAGGCTGCAGCCATTGGAATAATGCCTGCACGTCCCACAGAGCGACACTATGAGCCTCGTCCAACCACTGCCCTGCACCAGTAAGCACCGACCTTCTGCCCTCACGAACTCTCCTGAGGGTCAGACCTGGACCAGTGTCACTCAGGGTTGAGGTGTGACCCAAGTCAGTTTAACAGTCAGTGGACAGAGTACTGTTGGTCTCACTGGATTATACTGCATTTGGGGCTTCCCTTAAGGCTCAACTGGTAAAGAGTCCACCTGCAATGTGGGAGACCTGGGTTTAATCCCTGGGTTGGAAAGATCCCTTGGAGAAGGGAAAGGCTACCCACTCCAGTATTCTGGCCTGGAGAATTCCATAGGCTGTATAGTCTGTGGGGTCGCAAAGAGTCAGACTTACAACTGAGAGACTTTCACTGCATTTTAATGCTAGTCTCTTTTCTTTCCCTTAAGACTTCCTGTTGTTCAGTCGCTAGGTCATGTTCCATTCTTTGCAACCCTAAGGACTGCAGTATGCCAGCCTTCCTTGTCCTTAACTATCTCCTGGAGTTTGCTCAAACTCACGTCCATTCAGTCAGTGATGCCATCCAATCTTTTCATCCTCTGTTGTCCCCTTCTCCTCCTGCCTTCAATCTTTCCCAGCATCAGGATCTTTTCAATGAGTTAGTTCTTCATATCAGGTGGCCACAGTATTGGAGCTTCAGCTTCACCATCAGTCCTTCCAATGAATATTCAGGATTGATTTCCTTTAGGACTGACTGGTTTGATCTCCTTGATGTCCAAGGGACTCTCAGAGTCTTCTCCAGCACAATCCAAAGGCGTCAATTCTTTGGCACTCAGCCTTCTTTATGGTCCAACTCTCATATCCGTACAGACTATCAAAAAAGTCATAGCTTTGACTATACGGACCTTTATGGGCAGAGTGATGTCTCTGCTTTTTAATACACTGTCTAGGTTTGTTGACCCAAAAGTATTAGTTTAAAAGTTAAATGGCAGAGAGAGAAAGAGAGGGAGAGAGAAAGAGATTGAGATTTATGTGTGAAACGCTTCTAAACATGCCCTGTAAGTACAGTAGATTTCCCCCTTACAACCACACCCTGTAAAGTGCTGTATTTTCAGAGCTGCACAATTAACATAAGGAGCATGAGTCAGGCTTTGAACAACTCTGTGGGAACCAGAAAGCCTTTTGCTATTAGGAATGATGTAAATTCCCCAAGGCTGGAAGAAGTCCACAATGGAGGGAGACAGGGTCATAAATAACAACAATGGATACTGCACAGACCACAAAACATGAGGCTGTGATACAGACACTGTTCGCATCTCACACTGGATTTAACTGCTGCCTCTATTTATTTATTTTTTAAGCTTAAAGAGCACTCTGCATTTCCTATGGGAACTTCAAAAACACCTCTAAAAAAACAGGACAATGGACTCTCATCCCGAATTCTGACAACAATGGAGGAAAATGTCCTTGGAAGAGAAAAACAATAGCAGCAGCAAGAGTGACAGAAGGAAATGTCCAGCTCAAAAAGTGCAAAGCCTGTGACTTCATATTTTCAAAAAAAGAAAGAAAAACAAAAATAAAAAGAAGAAAGAAAAACGCAAGGCAGGGTCTCCTGCTTACAAATTAAAACCACATTTGGCAATTTGTCAATTTGTGGAAGGAGGCATATTTACATTTGTATGAAGACTGGGTGGGCAGGGGAAAAAAGAGGTTAGACTCCTTCAGCCCCTGAACTGTCAGAGCTCATTAGAAATCACTCATTTTCACATCTCCAGGGTTATTCACACCCCTGTGTTACCACACTGAAGCCTCCGTGCCCAGAACAAGTATTCTAGAGGAAGCAGCTTTCACCTGGGAACAGGATATCCCAAGGGACTCTTCCTGATTACTAATGGTGTCTCACATTTGACATCAAAATGCAACTGTAGCTCATCCAGAGGCAAGACTCTTAAGGCTGTGAAGGTGGCAAGTGCCTCCGGGGCCTACCCAGATGACACTGCTTCTTTCCAGATTCTATGTGACTAACGACCTTGACAATGTCTGCAAAGAATACAAAAACATACTCCAAAAGACTACCGGTAGGCTGTCCCTGGTGGCTCAGAATCTGCCTGCAATACAGGAGACCTGGGTTCAATCCCTGGGTTGGGAAGATCGCCTGGAGGAGGGCATGACAACCCACTCCAGTATTCTTGCCTGGAGACTCCCCTGGACAGAGGAACCTGGCGGGCTACAGTCCATGGGGTTGAGGAGAGTCAGACACGACTGAGCGACCAAGCACAGCACAGCACAGGCTGTCTGTCCAAAGCCCAGAAAGAGCACCCCATGGGGACTCAGCATTTAAGAAACAGGTAAACCAAGAGGATTGCTTTGGGCCATTATCAACCACCAGGGATCCCTCACCACTTGGAGGCTAGCTTGGAGTCCAGCTAAGGAATACAATGCTGCAACTACAGCCAGCCCCCTCTCTCAATTATTTATCTTTGGTAGTACTTTGAGGATTGTGGTATTAAAAATGTTTACCCATGAAAGTGAAAGTGTTAGTCACTCAGTCATGTCTGACTCTTTGTGACCCTGTGAACTGTAGCCCACCAGGCTCATCTGTCCATGCAATTTGGGTTGGCTTGTAAAGCTGTCCACATACAGTTTCAGGAAAAAGACCAAACAGCAGTAGGGCAAGGCTACTGGACCCAGAAGTCTAACTAGGGAGACACCCTCCCCGGCAGCTTGAAAAGCCCATGCGGGTGCCCAGAGCAAGTGGTCAGGCCTGTCTCCATCCCTGGGGATGCTCTGGAGACCAGCGAGTATATGCATATGAAGTTGAGGACAGCCAAAGCCAAGTGCTCCAGCACGGGTTCAATGCGAAGGCTGAGCAGGTGAACCTGAGTACGGTGGGGTGGACATTACCTCCAGTGCTGTCCAGTCTGACCTGGGAGACATATTTTAAATTTCTAGATACAAAAGATGACAAAGAAAGTACCCACCAGAATGAGCTGTGTTGGAATGTATTGGGTTGGCCCAAGAGTTCTGGAAAAACCTGAATGAACTCTTGGGCCAACGCAATAGTTAGAAACACTGGTGGATGTTCAAATTACAGAGCAAGTTGAAATCACGGACAAATCAAGGATTTGCTTACTTGAGTACAACTACTTCTGAATAGGATAATGTTGGATTAAAGAGGGATGGGGAAATGAAGCTGGCCTGAAAAGACATTGAAAATACTCACTCTTAAGTTTACATCCTCCTCAAAGAGTCCAAACAGCACAGCTGGGCCTCCCAAAGGCTAGTGGGGAGACTGGCTGCTCTCAGAGGCTTAAAAACAAACAAAAAAAGACTCCTGGGACCCTTCCCTGGGAGTTCTGACTCACAAGATCTGGGGTGGGGCTATGAGAGCTATATTTAGGTTCCCAGGTGACTCAGGACTGCTGATAACACATGGAAGGACGATCCTCAGAGCAGTGACAGGTACACAGTGTAGCGCTGCTCGCTGCGGCAGCATCCAGCAGAGGGTGGCCCAGATGTGTCAGGCCTCATGATAACTTGAGGAGCTTGTTCAAAGATGTGCAGGAGTCTACCCCACAATCTACTACATCTTGGGTCTCTAAAGTGGGGTGGGGTCAGGGCATGTGAATTTTAGGTAAGTTTCCCAGTGA